ATATCTAACCTAACCCAACCGAACTGAATTTATGTTTTTATATTAAAACCATTATTGATCGCTTTCAAATCCTTTCCATTTTTTACTCTTTGACCTAAGTTTCATAATAATTGTGAATATTATTCACTGTAATAAAATATTATACCTCACATATAACCTCAGAGGTAGGCAATGGCGATAATAATTTTTATCACAAGTTACAGTAGGTATAGTCCTCAGAGAAATATGTTTACTTATTCCTCTGAGGTATAGTCCCAGAATTAAAATAAAACAGGCAAAAACATATAATTACCTGTGGCAGAAAGGAAATGTGCACGAAATAAATGACAGTGACAGGGTAGGTATGTAGCATAGGTCCCTACCTATTTTTAAAAAAGAATTTTTAGGTAATAAAGACAAAGGTACTTCTCCAATTGAATTTATGCTCCTTTCTCCTTTAGTTTTGTTCATAAATGTTTACACTGTATTATGTATTGCTACCTAAAATGTTATGGTAAACTCGTTAATGAAATAGCCGTGAAAGTCTACTCTTTGGCCCAGGCTTCTGAGTTTTTGTTAGGCACTTTAGTAACAGTGTAGGAGGCTATCAAACATACCTAGATCTACCATATTTATTATTTATACTGTACTGCACAAGTCACAACATTAGGTCAAAGAGTAGAAATTATATTATTAGGTGATATGATGGTAATATTTGTATGACATTGTAGGTTCCTAGTGATCCTATTATAAAATATATGTATCTATTTTTTTATAGATGTTATCGATGGCTTGTAGCTTGTGGCCGCGAGGACTTGCTAAAGCCTGATTTAGATGCCACAAAGGCATATTCAAGATATCGTGTATGTAGTGCCCATTTTAACTCCTCAGACTTTAATAACCCGTTTGAAAAAACAAGACTGCTACTTACTGCAGAGCCCACGCCATTTCAACAAACGGACTTCGTTAGTGGTATGTATTTATTACAACAATATTACATTCATTTTCATTTATATCTTAAATTTAAAGTACATATGAGTGTAATGACTAAACACACAGTGCATGGCTCGGTGCGTGGTATTCCTTGTACTTCGATATCTTACTTGAAAAAGGGGGTACTTAGCAAGTATCTACGATATATCTATTAATACATAAGAATATTATTTTTGTTTTGTTCGTACTGTCTATTCTGAGGTCTGTTCATAAGCACTTTTATCATTATAAACGTTTTTTTTTTAGAAAATGAACCAAGTAATTTTCTAGCATGTTTATACCAAAGAGTAAGGATCTTTTTTTATACAGTGTAGTCCATTAAGTATCCAACAAATGGAAAACTTTTTTAATATTTGCAATAAAAAAACTTCATTACCATATTTCACATTTTTTGTTTCATCTTGTATGTTGTTGAACATTAAATATTTCTAAATGCACCCAAAATGGTTACCGAACATGCAGTAACTAACTATTGGTGGTCCTGAAACTTATTTATTTGCTTCAAAAAAGTTTCCCACTTATTGCAAACTTAATGGACAACACTGTATACCTATGTAGTACATAAAAAGAAAAGAGGTTTTAATTCACTGTTGTTTAAATTTAAAGAAGAATTAATAACCATAAAGTATTAAATAATGATGTATTTATTTCTAGATCAACCACAACCCAGTACATCATACCAGCCACTTAAAAGGAGAAATGAAGAGGAAGCTCTCACTTCACCAAGCAAAAAATTGAAAGTAATCCAAGATATCCAAATCATACCTCCATGCGAGACATCTGTTACTCCACCATTACGTTCCCCAGTTGAAGTACAAACAGAATATTCACTGTCTGCAAGATCTCCACGAAAAGAGAAATTAAGAAAACAGATGCAGGATTTGAAGAGCGAAAATTTAAAATTAAAAGAAGAACTTAACTTAACATTACAAAAATTAAACAATCCATCAGCAGATCAATTTAAGCTTTATTGCGATCAATTTTTAACACCCAGTATCTCAAAATTTGTTAAGTGTCAGGTAGATCTTTCAAATATACCTGAGCATGGCAGGCGTTATAGCACTGAATTTAAACAGTTTGCACTAAATTTATACTTTTTAAGCCCTAAATGTTATAGACACTTAGAGAAAACATTTTGTTTGCCATCCTATAGATCTTTATGTCGTTTTGTACAAAATATTGATTTTGCAGCAGGCATCAATACTTCTTTATTTAAGTTGTTGGAATTAAAGGTACGAAATTTGCAAGAACAGGATAGAATTTGTATACTATGTCTCGATGAGATGTCTTTGAAAGCCAATTTATTCTATAATTATGGAACTGATAAAGTGATTGGTTTAGAAGATAATGGGGAAACTTGCAGCAATAAACCTGCCTCAACAGCTACTGTGTTTATGATACGTGGTATAAAGTCTTCATGGAAGCAACCAATTGGCTATTGTTTTTCTGCGACAACCTATAATGCACATGAAATGAAGTCATTGTTAGACAATATGGTTAGATCCTTATCTAGTATAAACCTCGAAGTAGTTTGTTTAATTTCAGATATGGGTTCAAATTGCTTAGAATTATCACAAATATTGGGGGTAACTAGCAATAACTCAAGAGTAATATTGGGTGGAAAAAATATATTTTTTTATTTTGATCCTCCTCACATGATTAAAGCTATGCGGAATAATTTGTTAAATTTTGAATTCAAATGGGACAATCAGAGAGCCTCGTGGGCAGATATTGCAACTTTTTTCGAGAAGGATAGCACTTGCATTAATAGAATGGCTCCGAAACTTACAAGATCACATATATACCCTTCAAACTTCGAAAGGATGAGAGTAAAACTGGCTACTCAAGTTGTGAGTAACACCGTATGTGCTGCTTTGGAGACCTATGTAAAATTGGGAGCCTTACCAACACAAGCTATGGGCACAGCCACACTTTTGTCAATATTTGATAAACTATTCGATATATTTAATTCCTCAAATCTAAAATCTCCAAAGATTTTTAACAGACCTTTTAGAGGAGATGATACACAAGTAAAATTTTTAAAAGAAGCACTTGAACTTTTCGACAAGATTGTAGTATACAATCCATCCAAAAATAAGAAAGTTTCTATAAAATTCATGAAGTGCTGGAAAATTACAATAAATTCACTTTTACAATTATGGGATAGTCTTCAAACTAGAGGTTTTCAATTTATCCTTACTAGGCGTTTGAACCAGGATTGTATCGAAAACTATTTTGGGACTATAAGAAAACAACATGGAAATTCTGTAAATCCAACTGCTATACAGTTCGTTCGTGCTTTTAAAAAAACGTTTGTTTTGAATTTTATTCATACAGACAATATGAATTATTTAGAAGACTATGATAAAATTATGACAGAACTTACTGATTTTTCTACAAGTTCTGAAACACATATCCCCACTGTAATAATCATTGAACCAATCAATTTTCAAATCGATTGCCATTATCAGCAGTTAAAACTTCCACAACAGAATGCCTTCAAATATGTTTGTGGTTATTTAATTTCTAGGTGTCTTACAAAACATTCTTGCCCAATATGTGAGAAATTTGCTACTGACAATGATACTTTGGATGATTCAAATCTATTTATTCATTTTAAGGCTTATAAAACCAGTGAATCAATATTTGGCAGTTTAAAAACACCCCATGAATCTTTTTATAATTATATTTATCAACTCGAGCAATTATTTCTACAAAATATTGAATCCTATATTTTAAAACATCCAGGGAACACACTATATAACACTTTTAAAACAATTGGATACCAACACCCTTGTTCTGAATTTCCCCTTGACTACCTTTTAAAATTATATATTAGATTACGAATATATCATGTACTTAAAAATAGTAATTCAAATTTTAGAACAACTTCGAAACAGAACAGAAAGTTAAATATTTTGATGAATTTATAATCTAAATTTTCACAGTATACATAATGTAGTATACAGGTTGTCAATTTGAACAGTTTTAATGTGAATATCTAAAAAATACAGATTACATGAACGGAATATCGCATGAATGTTATACATGTTAGGTATGGTGAACGATATTACTTTATAATGATCATACCTGAGGTAAGGGGTAAGTTACCCCTAGGCAACATTAATACTTATTCACCCTATTGTTTACCTTATCTAAAGTCTCGTGCAGTGAGTAGGTACTATTTATCTGCACAAGAAAAACTGAAAATGAATTGAACAAAAAGTCCCAATTTAATAGGTAGGTACCTACTTCATTAAAGGAACAAATTACTATTTTAATACAGTTATTTGAGTTGCCTATAATACTGAGTAGTCAAAAACGTCAAATAACGAAAGTAGGTGAAAAAGTATTAATATCTATTAAATTAAAAATTAAAATATATAATGATTTACTCGTTCGCAGACAAAAATTCAGATAATTGTTCTATTTGGATCGAAACTGACATCCTGTATATTATATGTTAACGTAACCCGTTAGTTTCCATTTTATGTTGTATATATAGTTAGATGCTCATTAGTTTCCTCTTCATGTACACCACCTACTAAGCTAGCTTAGACCATCTTCTGTGACATGCAATTTATATCAGTTATCAGGTTTTAAGTTACCAAGTTTAAGTTTTATGCTTCGTGTCGATCAGTGTAATTGTCCCACTGTGAATAACTAACGTATTAATTGTATTCAAGCTAAATAATTTATTAATGTTTTATATAAGACATATCTGATATGGGAGCAATATCTAAACAAAATTTCTTTGTATTCGAGATAGAAACCAACTATTTTATCATAGAGCTCGGTCTGTATGCGTTAGTTATGATTAAGAGCATTAGGTCAAAGAGCAATCCCTACTTTTTGGCTAAGTAATGGTTAAGGCTGTTTTTGTATTACTACATGCATTTTGTGAAGAAATCTATTTTTAATAAAATATTGTCAAATTTCTTCTTCCCTTGATTTTTCTTGTCCCTCATGGAAAAAGTAATCGGTAATCGAT